TTCCACGGCCTGTGGCTGTGAAGGCTGTGAAAGAAGAGTGGGGTCCTTGGGCTGCTGGGGAGGCACAGCATGCTCTGTCCCCCACACTGTCACAAGACTGCCTTGCAGGTCTACTCAAAGTGATGCAATGGACATGCAGACCATGGCCTATGGGTGCCCTAGAGATGGCTTTTTCTATTTTTTAGAGATCCACTGACCTGAGTGTGAGCAATACACCTAGGAGTCTCACTGCATTAAACACATGCCAGTCTCAGGTCTCTAGGAGCTTCTCTCATTTCTGCACTTCTTTTAGCCCCTATACTCAAGCACTTTCTTAATTCCTCTGCACAGATGTGCTGTCCAGCCTCATGACTTCCACAGCTCATTGTTGTTATAAAGTCAGCTGGACACTTGTCTCCACGTGCCCCATCATCCTCTTCACTTGTGTGTGGATGAAAGAGGAAAAAGAGGATCAGCTGAAAACTGGCTGAGTGTGGGGCCTCTTCTCTCACATCTTAAAGAGGATGCAAGCAAATGTCAATGGCATCCAAAGTACTTAAAATATTGGAAAGATTTGGAGCAGTAGTGTGCTCCAAACAGAGTGGTGCAAAGACAAAAGGAAGTCAGAGCACCTTCCAGCTTCTCCTAAACCACAGGGGACTTGCAGAAGCAACTAAATATGGCATTCACCAATACATAAACACGTGGCCCAGGCAACACAGACATGGTTTCCTGTGCAGAAATATTTTGTCAAAATCATGCCTAAGTAAAGGGTACGGAATTTCACTAATCACGTAACAGGTAACAAGAAAAAGCAATGTTACTGCAGGGGGGAATGCAACTCAAACTGCAAAACCTGGGGGTGCCAGCAGCACTCCCCATCTTGGTGCAGTCCCTCATACTCTTCCAGATTTACCTTATCCTAGTGACATAAAACTGTGCGCAGTGCTGGTGATGTGGACTGTGGGAGGACTGCTGAAGAGGTGTACAGGGTGGCAGGAGGAGTGGCTCACAAGCAGAAAAGAGACAGAGCTGACAGTACTTTGTAAAACTGTTCTTTTCCTATCTCTGCTGCAAACATTTTATACAGCCCTGGTCTTATCACTTAGAATAAGCTTTTCACAAGTAATCACTATTTTTACATGATACATTTTTTGAGTATCTAATGTGAGAAATGAAGCCAGATCCACACCAGTGCTGAATTCTAAGCATCTCCTTGTTGTTCTTTCCACAGAGACTATAAACAGTACTCTGAAAAACCAGTCCCTCGATGTGTCAAGACAGACACTGAAAATGGATAATTCTGGCTATAATATTTGTACATTGATGCTAAGGGAAACATGTTTAAAAATGCCCATTTGAAAACTAACAGTTCTTTATTCATTGCATGCTCTGAAAAACACACCCCAAATATGGCACAGGGCCACATCAAATGGTGATAACAAAAAGAAATAATAATCACTCATTCACTGAATGCAGAAGAGGGCCTGTAGAAAATGTAATGAAGGGCCTCATAAGGATGTATTACAATGCTCTGGCTCAAAACTGTACAGGAAGTCTTGATGCCAAATTTTTCAGAGCCCATCCTGGCACTTCATGCCCTCTTTAGATGCAAAGATTATGTATGTTAAATATCAATAATGAACAATGGGAGGGAGTTCTTCTGGGAACAGTCAAAAAATACTCACTTTGTTCCTTTTCCTGGCAGAGAGCATGCAGTAATTATGAGGAAGTTTGATATTTGAAACCCTCCTGATGCGCACGACCCAAAGCATGACCTACAGATGTGTGGGCCATGGTAGCAGCTCAGTGCAGTGGAGCAGCACTGCTCTTGCTAGAAAGAAATCAAACAGGTGCAGGGGAAAAATATCTCCATATTTTTAGTTAATACCTGTCATTCACTTCTGGTTTAAATAAAAACTAAAAAAACACACACAGAATGCATGGGTGATTTTTAAAAACTTCCCTATCCATTTGGGGTGAAACTGGCCCTGTTGAAGTCAAGAACATCCACCTGTTAAGATTCCACCTCTGCTTTCTGTGCTTCTGCATGCATGTTTATGTCCCTGCCTGTCTTTTTCTCCTCCCTGGGGCTTTGTTCATTAAACTTATTATAATGTCTCTCTTTCCAGTTTCTGGGAAGCTCTTTTAAATCATGTGCCAATATCTGTTACACTTACAGGATGTTTTCCCCTGAAGATAAAGAGTAATAGCTTGATTTGCAACACTGCAAGCCCTTAGGCACTAGAATATCACTTGGTATATCACTTGGAATATCACCAGGTATCACTTGGAGGTGTTTTCTAAGTCAAAATCTGATGGTGACAGGTACAGGTATAGAATATATTCAGGCCATAAGAAAAAGGCTTTGTGGGTGAGTATTTTCAAGGCCTCAGGTCTTTCTCTTCAGTCTCAGACTGTCAACCATGCCATAGTTTTTCTATGAGACAGATGCCCCGACCTTGAAAGGGATGCAGAAACTAGCACAAAGGAAATAAAAGAATAAGGCAAGTGACAAATAAGCTACCCACAAGTATCCAACCCTAAAGAAAATACACACTAACTTACAAACCCAAAGGAAAATTCACAGCAACTTACATTACATTATGTAGATAAAATAAGATTCACTGAATGCTAATTTTTCTCATCAGCGTATCACAGAGTACAGAGGCAATGCCAGAAATGGTGATAACCATTGTGTGTAAGTCCCTATGTGTCTCACAGAGACCATCCTCTTAAACTTAATGGAAATGTAAATATAAAACATTCACTGCAATAAAAGTCTCCGGAGATAGAGTCTAAGTAGCGTGATTAGTGTGGAAAATGCTTCATAAATCCCAGTTCCAATAATCACTGGTAGCATACAGGATTCATCTCATTATGACTTTGTAGCAGAGCCTTGTTAATTCTCACTTCACTAATCTGTGACCTTGAAAATTCCCTGTCCGCATTTCAGTGAAGTGTTGACAGCTGAGTGAAATAGGGAAGTATTCCAGCAAGGGCTACAAGTGACAGAATTTATCGCAAAACTCTCGCTAGATTTCTATAAAATACTGTGCCTGACTGAATAAAATGAAATATCAAGTCTTTCATAAATTGCCATCCACTATTCTTATTTTAGCATTTGAAATCGAAGAGCAGAATCTATCAATTAATTTATTAGACATTATATTTTGCAAGGCTGCTGCCATAGGAGTAAAAGGAGTTCTGTGTAAATGACATTACTTCTGATACATTTCTGAGATGAAGTATATAATTTTGGGATGAGTTCCTATTGACTAAGCTTTTCAGGCCGTTATTAGCCATAAAAATCTTGAAGTCACATGCACACATATAAAAAATATATATATTTATATTTAGACCACACACGTTACTACAGTCTTGTAGGTGGTTATCTCCTGCTACCACTAATATGACTGCAAAGTTTACTGAAGAGTTGCATAATTCTGTTTATGAGGTAGTGTGGGTAAGACAAAATGACCAAGCAAAAGAAATTCTGCCCAATTTTCCAGGCTCGAGAGTTCACATTGCTTCTACAACCCCTGAGTATATTTTGAAAAACACTAAAAACTCTTCTAATTGTAAACATACCTTAAAAACATACCTTTTTTTCCAAAACTAGGCAGACAGCAACTTACATAATTTCTTGCCAAAGATACAATGGATGATAATTGGGTATTAAGATCTGAGTTGCTAATCACTACACCACCAGAATTACAAAACCCAGAGACTAAAAACATTTGTTGCCATTATGCAAAACCATTGCTATCAAAATATTAATAAAAGTACACTGTCAAATGCACCAAAATTTTGATCCAAAATGGGTTAGTGCAGATGACATCATCAAGTGTTTAATATTTAACTCTTCTTTGTTAATTTTACAACCTCTCTGGCAATACTACTATTCCATTACTGCAAAGTACACTCTTCAAAAGGACTAAATTGAGATGCATTTCAAAACATGCTCCTTCCTACTCTTCTCTGTGTGGTTTACCAGTGAGCATATTGAGAGATGGGGTACCCCTGTGCCTGACTGCCTCTGAGATCTTACAGAAAGGAGAGAAAAGCAGAGCACAGGGGAGCTTTGGAGCCATGGAAGCTCCTCAGTGAAGCTGACAGCAATGTTTTGTCATACAATGACTTTCTGTACGCCAGTCTCAGAGAAAACACTTCTGTCCATCTCATCTGCACTCTCATGTGGAGAAGCCACCATTATTTCTCCCTAATCCTCAGTAGCAGAGCTCTGTCAGTGGGATGTCCATGGCAGAAGCAGGGAAAGGGCAGAAAAGTAGGAATTAATTTCAGATTTCAAAAGCATTGTATTTGAGATAGTAGGTGGCTAGCCTGGGCTGTACAAGCAACACTGGCTCTAGGTAGAAGCACTGCATGGGAGAAAGCACATTTCCCTGTATAGCTGAACCCTGGCACTGTTTCTTACAGAGTTAAGGAAACAAAAACTAATCCTTTCTCTGCTTTATATGACTTCTGCAGGGTTCCTGTCTATTCCACGCAAAGCACATCTAACAAATACTTCAAGTTGGTGCATTTGATGCTCATTTCCTATTCCCTGTACTTTGATACCAATTTCTGTAAGATTATGAATGAGTGGTGTTGGAAGTTCTTTCTTTCCTCACACAAGAACTCTGTCCAGTTCTGTGGTGCAAAATCAAAAGCCTTCATTAAACTAGTCACAATTTCTCACTTCAACAGTAGAAGAACCATTGAAGAGCTTCAATAGCAGAAGAGATACTTCTTCCTTCTGCCTTCAAAGACAAAATGTCTTGAGCACCCATCACTTTCTTACTACAATCCAAGTTACAAACCTTTGAAAGTCATAGAAGTGTCACCATATTTTTTTTACTTCTCAGCCCATTTAAAAAACATTTATGCTGATATTTTACTGCCATAGTTCTCACATATTAGGCAGTCTGACAAAACCTTAAGATATTCTAAAAAAAGAAAAATTAAAATGCATCAAGCTTTATTTTAGAAATTAAAGATAAGCTAGAAAATTAACATACCAACAGCCATCATGTAATCCCAGCGGTCTATGAGGCACATATTGAAGATCAGATGGTCAGATGTTTGCCCTTGACCAATGAGTGGAATGTTTCTCTCCAAATTTTGGGTTATTGCAGAAGTCCAGCCAATGAGAAACCAAAAGACTACCAGAAGAATAACAGACAGCATCCTCATCACTCTCCCACCTGTCATATATGGAATACGCTGAGCTGTTCGGGACAGGAATACCTTCAAAACCCTGAAAAATTCAGACAGTGCAGAATTAAGAAGAGCAGTAGTAGCAGCAGAAGAATTAGACTTTAATTTTATTTTGGTACCAGATTATTTAAAAAACAAAGTCAACAGTCTTTCAGTTTGACAGTATGTATAAGAACGAAGTTTGGAACATTATTACTTCCATATTAATCATATTTAAATGGAACTGATTGCTGCCCAGAGACTGTTACATAGCAATAATAGAAAATATTAGCAATGCTTATGTTAGAGACACACATTTACAGGCTGTCTTGTCAAGCTGTTTTGTATATTCCATCTCCCAGTGGAAGACTTCTGTCTTTGAAAGATGAAAGGTCATTTCCATAAACCAGCAACCATGTATGTGAGATTTTATTTTGTTTTGATGCTGTCTGCTCCCCAATCCTGCTATTTCCAGAGAACAAATTAACACTTCTTAGATATTTTTCCCACTGAGTTTGATGCTACTGAGACAATAACCTACTCATCACAGAAACAACTGTGGAAGGCACTTTGCTAATTAAATGGGGTTTGATTTGTTTAGAGGCAACAACACTTTTTTTGAGCTAGGGCAGAACCATCATAAGAAAAGCCACACCACACGTCAAGCACTTATACCACATAACAGCTACTGAATACACAACGCTCACTTCAAAAACAATCACACTTATTATTAAGATAAATTTACTCCCACCAAGAACTGTTCAAGGAAATAGCACCTGCATTTTCTATCCATCACCACCTGCTAATGCAGAAAAAGGTCCTGCTAGGAGCATGAGAACAACCAAAATTTGAGGAAATCCCCTTGGGATGAAGGAGTAGTTTGATTCTTCATGTAGCACAAAGTGTGTCTCTGGGCTGCCTGCACCATGGGATCTGCCAGAAGCATCTTCTGGGAGCATTGCAGTGCTCCTGCCTTGGCCCTGCTAAGCTAAAAAGGATGAACACTGAGGAAAGGCTATCATGGAAGTTTTTATGTACCCAGACTGTTAGAAGCAGATGAGCTGAAGTTTAAAGGCTGTTTTAGACACTGAGGTGAGGTGTCTTTCAAAGTGAAGAGTTTAACTGTTTCAGTGATTTTGTCCTCAAAACCACAGTGGTTCCTGACTCTTGAGCTTTAGCATGTCCACTTGATATTCATGAAGAGACGAATTATCACTGAGGTCTTGGGATCGTGATTATTTTTCTCCCTAAAGCTGATTTTTAAAATTTCCTTGTCAGCTCTTAAGTTATTTCAGTGTACCAAGCATGAAGCCACCTCCCAAGACATTCCACAACTAGGCCTGCCTTTTCAGCAATACAAAATCACACTTCAGGTTAACATTTATGTTTGTATTTGTCTGACAGAAGGCAGAAGCAACCAGTGTTGCCTCTCAAACAACTAATAGACAAGTGTCTTTAAAGGCAGAAGCACAAAAGGTTTTCTGCATCCATATAAATGAATCAGCATTTGACTACAAACACAGCCTTCACAGTGTGCATTAGGTGAAGTCAGAGATCTGAATATGTTCAACATTATTCAGCTGTTTCCCTCCCAACAGTCACTCCACAGGGAGTCACAGTTTTTGATCTCTCCATGTTTGATAGATGTTCTGCTCTCCCTTTACAGATGCTAAGTGCCTTATGTTGGAAGCAGACTCCCAAAGACTTCACCTAGGAGAGACAGAAAACTCCACAGAGGCAAGGCAGGCCACTTGCCTCTGCATTGCTCAGCCCAGCACTACTGTTCCAGGGCAGCACTGGTGAACTCTCATTTTCTAAACACTAAATTCCTGATTTTTATTAAAATCAGGAAGCAAAGGCTTCCCCTCTCCCTGTTGTGAATGCTGGTCAATAGTTAGCTGCCCTGAAGGGAAGAAAAATGTATTCTTTTTGTGATGAACTGGAAAATTTCACAGCTATAGTTTTCCATTTGAGAAAAATATCATCGTAAATTTTTATGAATGTTTAATTAGAGAAATTACACAAACCAGCTGAGAACTATAAGAATTTTTTTGTATTTTGTCTCCAAAGTAAATTCTTGATGATTCAGCTTAAAGTCAACATGTGAGCCTATTTTGGGCATGATAAGGCAGAACCCATTAGTTTTTTTTCAGTACTAGTTCATGAACTGCTGCCTGTGAGACAGCTTTCTAAGGGAGAGGCGTGGGCTGCTCTTACATTCTTTACCTAAGCACAGTGAAACAAATAGTATTTTGCAATACAGCAGTCAAACCCCCTCCAAGTTGGATCAAATCACATCTCATTTTTTTCTCCTCTTTTTCACAAAAACAAGCATCCCCCACCCACCACAATAATTTCTACCTTGGACTCGTAGGCTTACATATAAGCCAACCTTTACGCTTCTTTTTTCAACCATTCTTTTTCTGGAAAACTTTAAAGAAAGTTGGGTCAGATCAGTAATGTTGCAAATCTCCTTTTCAGAGGTTGTGGTACAAAAGCAGTCAGGCAGAACACAAGCTCCCAAGTTGAAATTCCCTCATCCTCCTGCCACAATGTGAATCCAAAACCTCACTGCTCACCACCTCAACATTGACTTACATGCTCTGTCTGCTTTCATCTTCTATGTATTATTGAACATGTATCAGAGCAGAGACAACTGCCCAGGAGTTCCTCTCTCAAGGGTACATCTCACCAGACTGGAAGGTCATTATCTTTCCTGTACCTCTGACTCATAGAATCAGAATTCACTGTAAAAGAATTGAATTGCTGTATGAGACCAGACTGCCTCAGCAAACACATGGTGTTTGACTACTGGTACCCTCTATCAGAAAACAGGGGAATTATTGATTCAAATCCCTGCCCTGATTTCCAGGTAGACAATCTTCAAGTCCCCCTTTTGCACTCAGTTCAACACCTCTATATTGGGTCAAACCAGCTATTGAACAAATAAAAGACAATTCTGACTGGGAGGCAGGAAGTGGGGCTGGTGGACTGCATTGCTGCTAGGTAATCAAATATGCCCTGGGTCACCTTTGGCACTGAAGCCAACCGGCAGAGAACAGCCAGCATCCATATTCTTACCCTCAGCACTACAATTCAGCAGGACAGAGGATGGAGTCCCAGTGCCCAGGAATGTCCTCAGATGATACTTAATTTATGAATTTAGATGTATTCCCAGATTCAAGTTCCTGAGCAAAGTAATATTTAATTATGAATATCAAGTAAGGCAAACTGGATAGACTCTTCCTCCTGTCCTATCTACAGCCAAAATTACTGGCAGCGCCAGTCAGTGCCCTGGTAGAGGCTCAGGGGTCTGTTTAGGTCACTGATCTAAAGCAGAAGAGAAAATTTAACCATGTTTCTCAGTATCTTCTAGCTATACTCCTGCCTAAAACCACTCAGCATATGCAATCCACTTTTCTGCACTGCTGTTGGATAATTGAACAATCATTTCCAGTGACATATCATCAGCTCTGTTTACAGACAGGTCAGACAGAGCACTGCAATGTGTTTCACCTGCTCTTCTGGAAAACACAGCTGCCTTCAAGCAAAGCTTTGACTCACAGACAGCTACAGCCAGGATTAAAGCTGAAATGCAATAGCTGTTCCTTTCATAGAGTAAGCAGAAGGTGCAGTTCAGGCTGAATGAACTGCCTGGGGATCACTCCATGTAACTCCCAACTCTGCTGCACCATCAAGTCTGGGGACAATCAAGGTAACAGTTTGAAGATTTTCTCTGGGGTGCCTGGCTCCATATTAATGGAGAAGGGGAGGACTTGATTGCAAACACTGAGAGCCAAGGGAAGCCCAGCAGCTGGGAAGGGAAGCGATGCTGCAAGTGGACCTGCAGAGGGACAGAGCACGCTGGTTCACAGGACTGGCTGGGATCACCACCTTGGAAACATTAAGTGAAGCATGTGGCTGCTGCTGAAGTTATATCCTAAGATGCAATTGTAACCTTAGAAAATAAATAAAACCATATTACATTTTCATGTCATATCAACAAAAAGATGGCCCCCGAACTACCACTGCAGAAACAGCAGAAACAACAGGTGAGAGATCCTGCTTTGATAGCAATGACCTAGCACAGTTTGTTTATTTTTTATTTCTAGCATCTGTCATTTTGTGACTCTACTGAGTCATTTCTGTCAAACTGCTCTGTTCCAGACTGGTGATTTTTATTACGATACAAAAGCTACATCAGAAAGATAACGGGTCAAGCCCTTCGGAAGTATATTGCCCTCCTACAGTGCAGGGAGTATGTCTTATCTACTTTTCTGGAGTAACACTGAATATGCCACTATTTACTTTTAGTTAGTAAACTGATGTGATTCTACTAAAAGTGAAAAGGTACCAGTGGGACACGAATGGCACCATGTCAATACAAAAGATAACCTACACTTGACACACAGACACACACACATACACAAATACTGGGTGCAGGTATAATTTCCACATCGGGAAAGATGACTGAATAAAGAACAACAACACTTAAGGCCCAAGACCTCAGAAATCATGTTTAGATAGACTCGTACCATCAGTTAGTGGCTCTTGCTGGAAAGCATAAGAGGATGGATCCAGGCTCTTCTCAGTAGTGAAAACAACAGGACAAGAGGCAACAAACAGAAAGTGATGCACAGGAAGCTCCACCTGAATTCATGGAAGAACTTCACTGTGCAGGTGATCACACACCAGAACAAGAGAGGCTGTGAAGTCTCCCTCACTGGAGATATCCAAGAACCATCTGGATGCAATCCTAGGATTGCTCTAGGATGACCCTGCTTGAGCAGGGAGGCTGAACCAGATGACCACTGTGGTCCTTTCCAAGCTGCCCCACTCTGTGACTCTGTGAATCTGTGTCTGCTCACTCAGGCCATTAATGGTACCACACAAGCTTGCTCCACAGTTACAAGGTAAACTATAGGTACCAATAGTGCTGGAAATACAGGGAGGGAGATTGTGCCGCAGAATTCCTCTCTACTGGAAGTGTACCTGACTTCAAATCCTTATCTGGAGGAACTGTGTTTAATAAATGGCAATATCACTATGTGAGGATATCTT